ATTATCTTTTGCATGCGTTTGATCAACCGCCGAGACTTCCTACATGAAACAAACGGACAGCGGACAACGGACAACGGACAAGCTGAATGACGGACAAGCGGACAACGGACAACGGACACTCACTCACATAAGCCTGGCTAACTGTAACTGTAATGGCAATCGCCATGCCAACGTCAAAATCGTGTAGGTCCCCGCTCAGAACATGACAACTGACAAAAGCAACAAGCATCTGACAGACAGGCGACAGCGGAAGGGAGGCAGAAACAAACAAACAAACAAACAAACATCGGAATCAGCATCTGCATCGGCGGACAGCAACAACATTTCAATTAACAAAGGAGCCAGCCAGGGAGGGAGCAGGGAGCAGTCAGAAAGGGGTGCTCCCATGGAGGAACTAGACAACGTCGTCTTCTAATCGCCGCCTGTCAAAATAAAGCTCGGTGCCAGCATCACAGGGGAACCTCCTTGGGCACCAAGGCAAACCACACTGAAAATATCCAAGTCGAAATTGATTTTCCAAGCCTTAGGCGTCTCATTTACTCATTAGAATTTCTGTCTAAGTCCCAGTAAATTTCAAAATAAAAAACATTTCTCCCCGTGCACTAGCCAGCCTCCTGATGCTTCTGGCCGCATTCATGTGTATCTGCTAAAATGCGCAATTAAGTCATCAAATGTTTGGCCTGAGAGTGTCCAAGCGTCTTGACACAGCCCCAAGCCCACAGAGCACCGAGTACGCATTAGACTAATGCATTTGGGTGCAACCAGGAAGCCACCAGCCAGTCGGGCCTGGTCTAGTCTTGTTCTGCCACAGAGAGGGAAACTGTGGAAGCTGGGAGAGGGACTCTGAGAATGCGAAAATGCGAGGCCCCAACCACCGACTTTTACTGCTTCTGGCCGCGGCCGACTGCTAATGAAGCCTGAATGGGTAGACCGAGAACGAGACGGAGACCGGGACTGTGAACAGGATCTGGCTGAGATCCGTTAGGAGCTGGCTCCAATTTATCAAGTGCCATTGCTAGGGCCGGCCAAAGGCCCAGCGGCGTCTCATTAACGCTTCCAGTCGCGTAGGCGTCGCGACATATGGGGGAATTCTGGAAACCACTTCGGATTCCGATCCCGCGTCCCATTCGGTTTGATGCTGACGATTGTGTCCAAACTGACCCAACTCACGTCCTCCCGATGGCTCCATAACAGCAGCCTCGATCGATGTACACGGAAATAAACAGAAGGTACTTGTACTACAACATTTCAATGTGCTACTTATAACCAAAATCTGCAGGAGGTTATTCCTATAATATTTTTTATATTTTAAAGACTCTATCCTAATGGTTGCCAAACCTATTAGGCACTCTTGCTACCCTTTTATTTTGGAATAAATTATCTAAGCTCTGCACTTGACTTTCCACTATTTGTTCAGTGTAAGAGCCGCCGTGGGTACACGTGTTTTCATTTCGGATAAATTGCGACTGGGAATCTGGAATCGGGGATCGGCAGAGTAGAAATGCATCCATCCAAGTGCCGGCTTTCTCCGCAGAAAGCCTCTCGCAGAGGGGCGAAATTAATTTGCGGAAATCTCGACTCGAGTGGCTAAAATATTTCAAGAAAATCACGATTATCAACTCGAATTCCAGCGGCAGACCTGTGCGGGCGATCGGCCAGACACTTTCACAAGCTCTCGGCCAAGTGACATCTGTGCTAGTTTTGCCGGATTTGCATTTGATTCTCATTTAGCCGCCGCTGCCGCCGTCTGATTGATGGCAATTTCTAAAGCGTGTATTTCTGGCGCTCTCATGACAAATCAATTCGGAGCGTGGGCGATCCGCAGAGTCTGCAACTATATAGCTGCCGTGGTAATTGTCCACAATTTGGCAGCGATTTGTAAGGGGCATGACGGGCAGAAACCGCTGCCCACCTGTATTTGGCCAACAAAGCGATGGCCATTAAATTAATTACATCGGGCTGCGCACTCCTCCGATTTCAATTAAACGTAAATTACGAAAATTAAACGCAACAAAGAGCCAAGCTAACCGACCAGTTTCGAGGCTAGATGCCGAATCCCGATGGTGGCTAGAACACTTAACTTGGTTTACACACGCTCCCCAAGACCCCTGACTTATGGCCACTAAATTCCGCGTATCTGTACGTATATGTATATGTAATTTGTACGGATAAATATGGCAAATTGTTGGCGGGGAATCCGAGGAGAAAAGATAATCATAATCTGGCGTGGGGAACAGGAAATATAATAAGCCTCGAAAGCAACGCCCTTCAATTTGCTTTGCCCCCTTCCCCCGGCTAATTTTATTTGCGGTTTTCGATTTTATTTTACCAACACATTTTCAGCTTGGCAAAATATATACCCTCTCCCCTCCGCCTGCTCGTTTTCTGGTCACTTTTTGATTATAAATTGAATTTCCCCAGCCCGAGACGAAATCAATCAACTCGTCTGTCGTCTTCCCCCATTCACTTGTAAATCGTTGTTTTCTTAATGCGTTTTATGGATTCACGATTAGGTGTTGAGCCAATAAAATTGGGTTCTGACGCAGACAAAGGCCCGGGCCATTAAGTTGGCTTATACAACCTTTCGGCCCGGGGATTGTGTCACACTCTCCCGGCGGAGGTTGAACTCTGCGACTTTGATTAGTTTCGTTTGCTGACAGCACGAGAAATTGCTCATACGCCCCGCGAAAAAAAAATTAATTAGAAAGAAAGCCAGCCGGGACGAAGAATCCGCCCCACTTCAACGGAGCGCAGAGCATTAAAGGGGCGTTACTTGATATGTCTGCGAATCGGTTAAAGTCAGATTAATGCCCAGCCAAGGCCCCGGTCGCTCCGTTTGTCGGCCTTTTGCCATTTCAATTAAAATGCCATATATCATGGCCAAGAGCCTTTCCCAACTACTGCGCACATCGAATGCAATTAAAATCAAATGCGTGCCTCATTTTTGAATCAAAGCAAATCGTAAAGCGATAAGCCAGCCATGGACCACCCGAGAGCTCCTCGCCTTTGCCATTGCCAACTTCAATTAGCCCGACCTAGTCGGGGGCCCAGACCCACATAGCCGGATGGCCGGCCCTCTTTATTTATTTTATTGTTGAAGCTGGGCTAGGAGCGAATTCCTATGCAAAGTGTTCTGCCGGCCAGGCGCTTAATTACGCCCTAAGTAGCCGCCAGTCAATATTGATTTTGGCTCATTTAAACTGGGAATTTAATAGGCCCAACTGATTGCTAATGGATTCTGCGGATGTGGCTAAGAATAGGCGGGCTCATATTACCAGTTCTTAAGCGGGAGACGAGTGTGTGTTCACTTTTTGCCTTTTTTTTTTAATTTTATGTCCGAAACCGAAAAATTCTAATTAACAGTTTGTGTAGATTTATGAACAGAAGTCCATGCAGATGCAGTCGAGCGAAGGGAATGCAGAAGATACAAAGTATGGAAAGAATACAGCGAGAGAAAAATGTTTTAAAACCTTTAAAGTAATTTAAAGATATCAAAATAAAAATGTATGATTCGATTGATTAAATCAATATTATTTACCTTTAAAATATAGATATATCAATTTCTATTTTATCCATATTTCATATTAGACCTTTCTTCTCGATAGACATCCCTGAAAAAAGTTAATCTGCCTGCAATTGGGTCCATATTCACTTTAATATAATCTTGATATACCTCCGTTCTTCACTGTGTACCCAAGCGGAGATCAGAAGATCTCGAAGATACCGAACACCTTATCGACGAAGGGCATCCTGCGCCGGCAGGCGGCAAAAGGAGAACTCAATTTATGGAGTCGACGCGTGGAATTTACGAGATGGCAGGGATCTCTCGATCGTGGATGCAAACACCAAGTGACAGGACAGCCCAGAGGGATGTACCCACTGGACCCGAAGTTCTGCCAACTTCATTTAGCCGCTGCCGTTGCCACTCAGCAGCCGCTGGGAGTGCAATTCATTGGGCAAGTTAACAAAACGCGACAAGGGGGCGAGGGCAGAGCACGTGCTGCCGGCCGGAAAGTTGATAAATAACTTTCGGTGTCAGTTTTGCAAATAGTCGGGCATTAATAACACCTTCTTAGCGCGGCCCCAAACAGTCGCCTACAGCGGGAGACTGAGCCTCTTATGGCGGATTATTTCTGCCATTATTCAACGGCGACCTGCAAGAATTGTACTTTTCAACACAATTGAAACTGAGAAGAGTCGCTGAATACTAAAAGATCAGGTGAACATTATAAATTGTCTGCCGAAGAGGGGTTCAATATTTGGTATGAATTTGTTAAAAGAAGTTCAAAGAATCATTATTAACAAGAAGAAAACGGCAACAACAAATAAGTATAATTATAAATCAACAGTTTTTCATGGAATTTGTTTGATGAAAATGATGGGAATACACTTTAGAACGTAAAAGTATCGTTATAACTACACTTAAAACCAATTCCAGTCTAAACAAATCCTAGGTAAAACAAATTAAAGTTGAATATCTATAGAAGTTATTTTCTTCTGTACACCAATTGAGGGTAACAAAATATTTGGCCATCATTATCGGCTTAGAAAAAATGTGAACGGAAATTGCTGAACAGTAGTAGAAAGTTTCTGGCCTAAACAGCAGCTAAAATCTATTAAATAAAATTTAATATTTGTAGCCTCTGGAGAGGAGGAATTCGACCTCATTCGATGTGGAAGCTGCTGGGCCCCTGGCTCTTGCACAAATTTCGTTATATTTCATTTGAGAAGCCATAAAATATGATTTCAGTGATTAGAAACAAAGCTCCAGCTCGAATCCGATCTGAGAACTCTGCTCATGCTCGTATTGAGCTATTAAGGAGCCATTAAACTGGGCCATAAACTCCCGACTCCCCCCGCCAACGCACCACTTTATAGTCACTTAAGGCCAAAAATGCAAAGCTCATCAAATGGATTTCAAATTAGTTGACCCACCCCACTCCGGCCGCAGTTATCGCCGAGAGTTATGGCCATTAGAGATAGGCCAGTCGGAGACTTACGTTTTGGCTGCTGTCGCTGCTGGCGGCGGCGGCGGCCTCTTTGAGTGGCCATCAAACCTGGCCAATTGTTCTTCAATATCGCTGAGCTGGATATCGTCGGCAATGGCCAGGTTGAAGCAGAAGGCGGGGTCCCTCCTGTCCCGCTCGATCAGCTGCTCCGTGTCCTTGGGATTGAGCCACACGGCGTTCCTGCTGCGGCACAGGTTGAGGTTCCTCAGGTCGCCAAAGTGTAGGGACACGGTCGGAGGTGGTTGAGGAGGCTGCTTCTGGATCTTGGCCAGCTGGGCGGCGCTCAGGCTGCCCGTCAGCATGGCCACCTCCACATCGTCGTCGGTCTCCCCGTTACAGGAGATGCCGGAGGAGTGGAACTGCTCCTCGCAGCTGGCCTTTTTCAGCTCGCAGCCGGAGGAGGACTGGGCGACGGCCATGGCCAAGGTGGGAGCTGGCGACTCGTTGGGCAGCTCCAGGGCTATTTCGTACGGCGCTAGCGTTATCCTGGGCTTCGGCTTGGTCTTGGCCCTCACCGCAGACTTGATGATGCACTTCGCCGGCGGATTTCCTCGGTTCTTGGAACAGCTCGCCTTGCCTGCTGCTGCCTGCTTCCTGGGCGAGAGCTTGGTCACCGTGGACAGGCGGGACTGCTGGGCGGGGTTCTTCTGCGGCACCTGTGGTGGCTGAATCCTTTCCTGCTCCCGGCTAGCCAGTCGCTCCCTGCCTTCCCGCTCCGCGGAGAGGGCCCTCCGGCGACTTCGGCGAATGCTGGGCATGTTCCGGGGAAAGAGCTTGCCCGCCTCCGCCTGGGAGCTCTTGGACAGACTGTCGCAGCTGCGGTGGCGCGTGGGGCTGCCACTGCTCTCCGTGGTGGCTGTGGAGGTGCTGGCGGACCCATCGAGGGTGGTGGCCAGCACTGAGGCGCACTCGCTGAGGTTCAACACGGGATCCGGCTTGACAGCCTGCGGCAGGCGGATCCTCCACCAGCGCTTCTTCGATAGCATCTTCGTCACGCGTCAATCACGGGTCGCGGGGCAATCAATCAATTGACACATTAACAGGACGGGAACACCTTGGCCCCACCTGGTATGCGGCGGCCTGCAATTACTGTCGCCAGCAATTAACGGGCAATCCGCTTGCTCCAATTACGTGCACTCGCGCTCGATAGTTGGGATTGGACTGTATCGTGTATAGTCGAAGTCGGGGTTTGGTAGTTCGCGGCAGAACAGCTCGCACACCGCTCGCTTTGGGGCTGCTCAGACAACTGAAGATCGCATAGAAAGTTGGCCGAAAGGCGGCGAAGAACCGGCTACTGGCCAGGTTGGTGCAGGTCAAACTCACCACCCGATCTGGGCAACTCACCACAGCTCTCTCTCGCTCTCTCTCTCTCGAATCAAGTGCAGGTAACAGGTAACAGGTGCCACCTGAGTGGAGTGGCTCCGGCGCTTGAGTGCTTCTGGAACGAGCCGCATTCTGGCCGCATTTATTAGCCAAGCCGAGCTACTGGTTGCAAGTGGCAACTGGTTGATGGCTCGGCCGCTGTCTTCGGGCCATTTGACACATTTCATCCGCTTAGCGATTGACCCATTTCAATCATGGCCAATAGCCGACAAGGGAGGACGATTGCGAGAGGCCAGAGTGCGGCCCTTGGGCGGTTTGTTGCCACATTAGCAGCGCACTCACAGGTGGTCATTAGCCTGCAGGCCAGCTGAAAGTGTGGTAATCAGGTGAGAGGAGACCCCTAGCCCTCCGTGAAATGCATCCGGGCAGGTAACTAGCCAATGGCAAAGCGTGGCCCAGCGAATGTGTGAGCCAATCAATTGGAATTAGGGTTTTGTGGGATTCTCACCTGACGGAACCTGTGGGAATGCGTTAATCTCTAATTGCACACATTATTCAATTAAGCCAGCGTCACTGGTAGCATTACCACTGACCGATAATGGTGGCATCTCGGCCTTCAACAAGCTACTGTTTCCAACAGATAATTACATAAAGTGTGAGAATTTAGTTGGGATAAGATGCGAGTTTCTAAAGGGAAATGGTCCTAACTAACTTGACAAATTTGTACCTTTTAGCATACATTTAACATTTAGTTGGTGTAGCTTAACTTACATAAATTCTACTCGATAATAAATTACATTTCAAGTTCTTAACTTACTTTTAAAACTCTCCCAGCTGCGTTACCATGGCGTGGCTCACTTCCGAACAAATTGTTTTGCCAACTGTAATGAGAGTTGAAAGTAAATAAATTAATTTTACGCATTTAATGTTAAATATTTACGTTCTTTTTTGGCACTCCACCGAGTGATGGACGAAATTGCCCAACTAATTGAGAGCAAGACAGAGAACGAACAGTCAACAGAAGTCGACAGAATAAGCAAACCAAATAGGCAAAGTGACTGCCAAAGTATTTTAATTGCCCGGAGTTTCTCCCGAAAAAGAGGGGGCGTCAAAACTTTATTTGACAGTTGGTACAACTGAACAATTCATGAAACAATTTTGATTAAAACTGAGACACGCCGTCTCCAGCTGGGAAAATGTCAGCAAACGTACTTGGCAGATGCCAGCCAGCAGGTGGAAATGAGTACACCGTGCAAATAATATTAAAGATTGCTAATACTTAACACAAAAAACAGGTTTTGTAAGGAGGATTATGTTACGAATCAAAATCATTAAAAATATATATGGAAAATACGTAAAAAAGTAATTATACTGAATCTAAAAAAAGATGATTAAAACAGCAAAATAATTTAAAATATCCAAATAAATATGTATTTATTGAAATTAAAGAGACAGTTTCTGTTGAAAAAATTGCTTATCTTGAGTCTTTTATGTAAACGGCCTGTTTATAACCTTACTGTGGCATTTTATCGGACAGATTAAGTTGCGTCTAAGAATGTTTGGTTTACTAACGTGTCGATATCAGAGGTAATACTGAGAGGATTCCGACTGCCTAGAAAATATATTCCATCTCAGCATTTTTAGAATAATACATCTGCTTTAAGAGAATTAAAGTCTACGCTTAACAACACCATTTTGTGCTCTATAGACCAACTTGATCCTAGTAACCGGCCTTAGGTTTTGTTAGCATGACAAAATCACAGATGATTTTAGAATGTCAACTGAAGTAGAGAAAAATCACAACAAGAATGGCGCCTTGTCAACCAGGTGCCTTAATGTATATCCAGATTGATTAAGAATCTATACTAATAATCTGAAATTGTATGTTTCAATATGTAAATTTGTCCAGTGTAACCTTATTACTTTTTGAGTGCAATTCCTTGCCCCCTGGCATGTGGCAATGGACAACAGGTAAGAGTCAGCGTCATCGCAAGAGCAAAAAACGGGAGAAACAAACGCAAAAGTGACGCTAGTAAAACAACAACGATAATATCCTGCAGAGGTCGTAAAAGTTGAGATTTGAACGTGCAGCGTACACGTGTAAGTCAAAAGTTCGCCCAGAAGCGAGGGGCGGATGTGGCGGGGGGCGTGGCAGCCAGTTTGTCACAGCTGCCGCCACTACGCGAGGCAAGATGGCGCTGTGCAGCACTAAAAGGTATTAAAACAATTTACACTTTGTAAAAAACCGAAACAGCAACGGGAGCAATAACAGCAACTGTTGTGCGGCTTGTAGCACGTGTCGCGCGGAGGGGCGGCCTTCGGGGGGCCCTGTAGTTGTTGTTAATATTTTTTCCCACTCACCCAACACGGCGCCCTGTCATAATCATAACCGTGTCTCGGGGGAGGGCCAGGGAAAAAAAGGAGGAAATAAAATAAAATCAAGACTGCCGTTGACAATCGCGTTATCATAATTCTTTTCTGCTAAATTCAAATAGCGTTTTCGCCTATTTGCATAAACAACGTGAAAGTCGTAAAGTGAAAAATTGCAAAATATATATATGCTTAAGAACCGGAGAAAGGGAAAGAGAAAGGAGGCGGCGTAAGCACTTGAAAGGGGCGGATGGGCAAAGAACGCAGAAAAAGCAAAGCTGCAATTGCTCGCTGAACAATGAAGGCACAGTGGGTCGAAATGGTCAAAAAAGCTGACAGATAAAGGATTAAAAAAATATGTAAAAAAAAATTATTATTAATTAAATTCCCTTATAATTATTTATTTTCATTAAATTTAAATTACTTATAAACACATGTTAACTGATTTTTTGTAGTTTCATTTACAGAATAAATCCTTCAAATGGTTAAAATATTCTTTTTAAAATGTAAAAGAATTTTCATAAGTTTGTTAAGTTTGTTGTTTTAAATTAAGAAGTAGTACTTAGAAAGTAAATACACTGCCTAAGTGTATTTATCAAAATCTAATCAAAATCTCCAAAATGTAATAGGAAATGGAAGTATTTTAAAATATTCTAAGATTATATTCTTGATTTAAAATTAATGGAAAATATTTCACAAGTCTCATGATTTCCTTATATATTTTTTCTACTATATATCCTGATTCATTCCCGTTTTAGTTTAACCACAGTAAGCGCCTCCATGCGATTCTCCGGCTACATCCGCCCCAAGAGCAGGAAAGCCGGCAACGGGGAGCCTTTTTTTTTATGAAAAGCTAGATGCGTGGCCCCAATCCGCTTGCCAATCTCGGTGGCAGCCGCCTCCGCTGACTTCCTCTTAAGACAATAAGCACAGTGCCGGGATGGGATGAGCACGGAGAAAGCAGCAGGAGCTGCCACAATTCACCCCACACTCATACGCGGAGGCGGCAAATGTTTCCCTAATGATGACGTCCCCGCCGCTGCTTATGAATTGTCGTTGCTGGCGGGGAAATGTGGCAAGAAATCTCAAGTGCTGCCTCGTAATATTTATGAAAAATACGAGGATTTTTCCAACCAAAAGGGGGGGGGGCGCCTGCAATGATTACGTTGATTTGCCAAATGGCGCTGATGACAGTCGTCGGCAGCAGCTGAAGAGGCTCCGTGAGTCTACTGATTTTTAATTAAAAAAGCAACACGAAAATGGAAGAGGGGAAAGCCACCAGCCAGCGGGAGAGAGTGAACAGAAGAAAGCCCAGTCACAAAGCCAGAAAGAACAAAAAAATAAGAAAAAAAAAAAGAATTCAAAGTGCGCGTCACAAGGTTTCCTTTTGTTAATCGACTTGATTGTAAATATTTTCTTGCATACATCCACACCCTTGTCCTGGCTTTTCCTCTTCATTCATCCTTCCATCTTTTATTTGTACAGGGGAAAAAATTAGGGAATAATTTCAGAAAAAAACTATGTTCTAGAAGAGACAATAATATGGAATATAGAATAGAACTTCTTCTGGCTTGACAAGGCTTTTATTAATCAGAAATATTTCTAGGATAAGTACCAATGAATATTACAAAATAATTATGATTTACACTCTCGATTTCTTTCCCAGTGTACATTTGTTTGTCAATGGCGACTGTTGCTGCACTTCTAACGGCACATTCACCCAGTTACCTCCCATCCCCACCCCGCCCGTCTGCACCTGTCGCCTTCCCTTCCACCTCGTCCTCTCCTCCCACCCCTTGTCTCACCATCCCCTTTGGCTTTGTTATTTATGGCATTGTTGTTGCCACGTGATGCTGTTGCTGTCGCTGTCGCTTTCACCCGCCCATGTCCCCAGTGGATGCGTGGTGCGTTTTCCCCCCACCCTCTGCTGATGATTTTTCACGCCCTCCCAGAAAAAAAGAGGCGGAGACGGCACCAGTTTGTGTTTTTAATTTGACAAACATTTCGCGATTCCACACAGCTTCTGTCAGCGGCAGGCGAAGAAGAAGGTTTCCAGGTAAGCATTCGTATTGACGTAAAAAAGTCGTTACGTTGCTTGGCATTTCTTTTTTTTTGTCGTTGTAACTCTTTGGTGTTTTGTTTTTTATTCATCCTAGTCTGTTATGTTTATTTGGGAACTTCTGCCACTTTTTTACATTTGAATCTATCATAAAAAAAGTTATCAAAATTAAAGTAAAAGAAAATTTACAAATGCCGCCTGCATTAAAAAAGCTTAAAGATATAAATACATATATTAAATAAGATGCGATGACACAAACTCCTATTAGGCATTAATATGGCTCATAATAACTGTCAGTGGAGTTTATTTAGATGACTCCCAACCGAATAAAGCAAACAATTTGCCAATCACTCATCAATTTTGAACCCCTTCAATCCAAGTTTACTGGTTTAAGCCAACCTTGCTTTGCAGCTCCGTTTGACTTGGATTTGTATTGCCTGCTTTTGGGAGGACTTATTTGGCCAATAACAGCAAT